TCTCCTTGCTTCCTATCACTTTCGTTTCTATGGTTGTATTATTGGGCAGTAAATTTGAACTCATAAAAAGTACCAGATTTTTACATCCACAGTTGTTTGATTATTTCAAAATTGAATTATAAGGAATGACTCTAATTCTTGGCCAAATTATGGAGTATTATCTGGTTTGGGTCAGTTTACACTTTTTAGCTCATCTCAACGAAGTTGGGGAGAGCTTATGTGATACCCTCGGCTTCGGCGTCCCAGGTTAAGGTTAAGTTTTTTGGAGCAGTTTTCTTTTTAATTACTTCTGTGTCCTATACTGATTAGACATGCATGGAAGATGGTTTTAGTGTGTTTTATTGTACCAGTCAAAGTTTCAGATGCTGCAATTTCAGCAAAGGAATTACCAGGTTAATGTTTTTGGAGCAGGTTAACATTTTTGGTGCAGTTTTTGGTGTGGGTTTCATTTCCAAGTAACTATAAGCCCTATGTTGACCAAACTTGCATGGATGATACATCTAAGGATGCATACTACCGGGCTTGCTTCGGATGCTGAATCTGACCTACATTTTCCGGTTGAGTGAACAGGTTAAAGTTTTTGGTGCAGGTTTCATTTCCAAGTAACTATAAGCCCTATGTTGACCAAACTTGCATGGATGATACATCTAAGGATGCATACTACCGGGCTTGCTTCGGATGCTGAATCTGACCTACATTTTCCAGTTTGAGTTAACAGGTTAAAGTTTTTGGTGCAGGTTTCATTTCCAAGTAACTATAAGCCCTATGTTGACCAAACTTGCATGGATGATACATCTAAGGATGCATACTACCGGGCTTGCTTCGGATGCTGAATCTGACCTACATTTTCCAGTTGAGCGAACAGGTTAATGTTTTTGGTGCAGGTTTCATTTGCAAGTAACTTTAAGCCCTATGTTGACCAAACTTGCATGGATGATACATCTAAGGATGCGCACTACCAGTCTTGCTTTGGATGCTGAATCTGACCTACATTTTCCGGTTGAGTGAATAGTTAAAAGTTTTTGGTGCAGGTTTCATTTCCAAGGAACTATGAGTTCTTTAATGACCAGTCTTGCATAGATGATACATCTAAGGATGCATACTTCCAGGCTTGCTTCGGATGCTGAATCTGACCTACTTTTTGTGGATGAGTGAAAATGTTAGTTTTGATGCATGTTTCATTTTCAATAAACTATGAGCCCTATAATGAGCAAACTTGCATGGATGATACATCTAAGGATGCACACTGTCTAATGGACTTGCTTCGGATGCTGAATTGGACATACATTTTTCAGATAATAGACAAGGTAAAAGTTATGGTTGCAGGTCTATTACCAAAAACTATAAGGCTTATATAACATTGTATAAACCAAACTTGTACAAATGCTGCATCAAGAGATGAAAACTCTCAAATTTGCTTCAGATGCTGGATTTTCATTACATTTTCATGAAGAAGAAGTAGTTTAAATTTTTTTATGTAGGTCTATTTCAAAGTATCAGATCAAAATTGCTTTTAAAAATATTTTCATTTTTGGAATGTATACTTTTTGTTGGTTAATTGTGTGACTTTGCCTTACTTAAAGAGAACATTCGTCGAGGTGAGCTCTGTAATCTCTGATTACCTATGTTTTTAATCCGCTAGAGTCATTCCTTAATTGTATTGCAGTACAGCTATATATTGGTAAAATTGTCCAGCCCTGATTGTAATTATTTTTTTTCAGGAATTGCAAAAATGATATGGGCCTTTACTCAGCAATTGAACTACAGGATAAATTTGATCTTGACAGTGTTTTAGATGTGAAAGTAAGTGGGTTTTTTTTTTAAATATCTTTTGTTTCTAATTTTGTCAAACCATCAAACATGTTTAATTGTTATGCAGTAAATTTCATTTTTAGGTCTTACAAAATTTTCATGTTTCTCAGTGTCAAAGAATTTTTAGTCCATCTGTACCTTGAACAAAAAGATCTAGTTTACATGTGAATCATTTGACAATGTTTTAATTAAATTTAATCGCATTTTCAAAAGGTTAATATTTGAAGAAAATTTCATATCTCGGATCTTTTGACCAAGCAGTGATATTCATTGAGTATAAATTGAACATTTGTTTAGATTATAGAAATATCATGAACTTTCACTATTCAATGTTCTTTACAATATTACAGAATGTAATGGATGAAATTGACAAGTTTATGATTGGTGGAACCAATATACCAAATGTTACTATCTTAACACCAGAACTTAGAAAAGCCTTAGAAGATTTTGCCAACTCCTCCATATCTCCAAGTGTTATCACAAGTTATGAAACAGAGGTAAATAGCTTCGTTTTTTTTTTTTTTTTTTTTTTTAATACAGAATGAAACATTGAAAGAGAAATACATTACATTCATTATTTATATACATGTAATTTTTATTACAGTTAAACAAAACACCCATTCCAGATTTGAATAAGACAATAGACGATTTGAGAAGTTATAGACTTGTAAGTAGTCCTTACTGCATTTATCATTTGAAGCAAAATCTTGCAAATTTTTGTTGTCTTAAATGTTGTGCACAAAGCACTTATATATATATATATATATTTTTTTTTTTTTATTTTCATAAAAAACCTTTTAATGAACTTTCTTGTCAGTTAATCTGTCTTGCCCACTCAATACTCATGTTTTGACTTTGTATAAGTTATTTGAGAAAGACACCTAGTACAATATAATAAAAGTTAAGTTTTGATATGAAGCACACATACATATTTCCATATGTACCTTTTTACAAATTTGTAAGTGCTATATAATTTGCCTGCAAGAAATATCCATGAGTTTTGCAAATGTTCTCATATTTAACTATTAATTGATTGAGCATTTATGTATAGTTTCCTCAGGCATGAAAATTATTTTCACTGATGGATTTAGAACTTAAAAAGTATAAATTAAAGTTATTTTCAAAAGTACATTGTTTACAATGTATCTCGCTTTCAACGAGCATTCAAGTGTATGTGGCCTGAGTGGGGAAGGGTCTGATATTATTTACTTGGTTATATTAAAGATCATATAAGAAAGATAGGGAATCAGACTATTAAGACTTTCCCAAATAATTTTTGTTTTATCACTATTAAAAGATGACAAATAATGAGTAAATAAAATGTGTAGCAAGTAGATTTATTATGATAGAATGAGAATTAATTATTTGTTTCAGTGATTTTTTTTTTAAAGAAATGAATATAAGTGGATTAAATATAATTTTACTATTTTGTAGAATGACCAAGCAGACATGATTCAAAGCTTTCAAGATGTAGAATTGAAAAACTTTACAGTCAAAATGGTTTGTAAATAGTATAAGATTTTTTAAGGCAAATATTATTGAGTACAAGTTCATTGAGCTGTATTTCGTATGATACATTATAAAGAAAAAAGACATGGCACTATCAGTTTCTTTTTTATAGTAGTTTTTAGCTCACCTGTGCTTAAAAAACTTTACAGTCAACATGGTTTGTTAATAGTATCAGATTTTTTGAAGGCAAATGAGTACAAGTCCATTTGAGCCATATTTTATATGATACATTATAAAGGAAAAAAAAACATGGCACTACCAATTTCCTAGTTATGGTAGTTTTTAGCTCACCTGTACTGAAAGCTCAAGTGAGCTTTTCTGATCACATTTTGTCTGTAGTTTGCCTGTCTGTACTCTGTAAACTTTTCTCATTTTTGACTTCTCCAGAATCACTTGGCCAATTTCAACCAAACTTGCCACAAACTATTCTTGGATGAAGGGGATTCAACTTTGTTTAATTGAATGGCATTGCCCTCGTTCAAGAGGATAGAATTCAGAAAAAATAATAATTCATTGGCATGTTTTAAAAATCTTGTCAAGAACCACTGGGTAAAAAAAATTGGAAACTTTACATTTTTTACGTGGTCTAGATTCAAATTTGTTCATATGATGAATCTTTGGGGTATGTTGGTACCACAGTGTGGGATCAGAAGGAATATAGAAAACAATCTTTAAAAATCTTCTGCACAAGAACAGCAAAGTGATTTGATATAGAAGCATTCTTAGGTAGTTTAAAATTCAAGTACACCTCCATTCAGTTTAAACTTTTCAATACTGTACTGATTTATACTTTTAATCTTTTACCCAGCCAATATGTGCTCAGTTGAACAATGTGCCCCATGGGCCTGTTGTAATTGAATATTGTAGAATTCAAATTTATTGTATTAAGAACTAAAAAATATTGTGCAGAATTTTTTAAATAGAGGTGAAAACAAAAATCTGCTCAAAAGCTTGGGAACAAACCTCTTTAATAGGAGTTTAGGACTTAAATAGGACTCCAGCTCGAGTAAATAGGATTTTTGGATAAAAATTTTCATGGTAATGAAAACATTTTGGAGAATTTCTGAAGAACAACAGAGCTAAGTTAATCAGGTGGGCATTGTGGCCACGGGCCTCTTGTTTATCAGTGATTGTTTTTATTAGTATAATTGGTAATGAATAAAAGTAAAGGCTGTAGAAAGGTGTGCTTATAAACAAGAAATAAGAAGTACAATACATGTATTTCACTAAAATTCCTTTTAAATTTTTACTGTAGGACAATTTGAAAACAGCACTGAGTGTTTTAAAGGGCCATACAAATTTACAGGTACGATTTGTCAATGCTGAAAAATATGATTTAAGATTTTACTAAGAATTGAATATGAATGTTGTTGATTAAATTTTTTTCAACATTTGTTTTAGGGAGCAGTAAATAACCTGACAACATCTCTTGGTGCATCTGAGCTCAAATATAATGAAGAGAAGGATCAGCTTGTGACAAATGTAAATATCTTCTAATGCTTTTAATGATTCATCTTATTTGTAAATCTGTATTAAAAGTTATTTTTGTGTTTCTCAAAGAAATACTATTAAGTTGTAATGCTTGAAGAGTTGTATGAAATACAGAATATTTGAAGCTGGAATGATTGTCATGAAAAACAGTTTCTTTCTGAAGGGGTTGAATGAAGTATTAAAATATAATATTTTTATTTGCAGGGACTAAATAAGACAGTGAATAATGTAAAAAACTATACACTTGGTACAATTGAAAATGTTAAAAATGAGGTATGTTTTTCAGTATTAACTGATAATTTGAAAATATTAATGTGTATTTTATAGTAAAATTCTTATTGTTCTAAATACCTTGGTTGAATGAAACTAAAAACTTGGCAATTCACAACATTAGTGTGTTTGAAAAGGAATTTATTACCTGGTACATGTATTCATTTTCTCTTGGTAAACTGGGAGATAAATATATTATCATTTTATGACAGTAATGCATTTTAAAAAAATGTTTGTAGGTGAGGTACAATATAGGAAAATGTAAACCTGTATATGAAGCTGTCCAAAAGTTGTCCGACTCCATCTGTCTGGTTTTGTTAGATCCTTATGTGAGTATCTATTTTGTCATTTACCTTGTCTACTTTTTAGCTTTTTTGAGCTGAAATATTATAATTTAGAAAAAAACAATTTGATTTTGTCTTTTTGTTCTATTATAATTTTTACATTATTACTTTTCTCTCAAGAACCACTGAGAAGTTTTAATTTTAGTCTTTAGCTCTACTGGTCAGAGACCAGAAGAGCTTATGCGATACTAATGCGTCTGGCATCTGTCTGTCTGTCTGTAAACAATTTTTTAAAAATGCTACTCCTACAGTTTTGGTTTGATTTCAATATAACTTGGCACACAAGTAGACTACACTAAGATACATAATTAGGTCTTTCCACCTTTCTGTGGAAAGACCTATTGATTTGCTTATGTTTATTATTATTCCTATTATTTTTCTTCCGCTGATTTTTTGTTTCGACATTTATCGAAAAGATTTTTTGTTCATCGTAAAGGTCATTAAAAGTTAGGAACAAATTTGACCCAACGCATATGAACTATGACCGCTTTCGAAGTTATTGCCCCTTTCGCAAGAAATGCTTGTTATCGCTACTCCTCTGAAACCGTAAACCATAGAAGAATGAAACCTTCACTAAAGTCTTCGACTACTTGAGAGGACTCTGGAATCTATTCATTGCGAAAGTATTCGGTGACCCCTTCAATGAGTTATTGCCCCTGAAACTTTTTTAATTTTAAAAATAATTAAAAATTTTCAAAACGAGAAGAGATAGAGACATGGGACTAACTGCATAAGATTCATTGACCTTTGATCATGAAATTAATGCAAAGGTCAAAGGTCAAGGTCATTCCAAATTTGAGAAATTAAGCTCTTTTTATTTTTTCTTTTGTCGTTTAACATATACAAACTGTCTTAGCATCATTAATATGTACTCTTTAAACTATTTCAAAGATTTAATTCGTATTCCTTAAGATTGACCCTATTAAAAGTTATTGCCCTTTGTACGAAAAACCTTGTTATCGCTACTCCTTCGAAACCGTAAACTGTAGAAATATGAAACCTTCACTAAAGTCTTTGACTAATTAAGAGGACTCTGGAATCTATTCATTGCGAAATTATTCGGTGACCCCTTCAATGAGTTATTGCCCCTGAAACTTTCTTAATTTTAGAAATAATTAAAAATTTTCAAAACGAGAAGTGATAGAGACATGGGACCAACTGCATAAGATTCATTGACCTTTGATCATAAAATTAATGCAAAGGTCAAGGTCATTCGAAATTTGAGAAATTATGTTTTTTTTATATCTCTTTTGTCTTTAAACATATACTTAATATCTTAGCATCATTAATAAGTACTCTTAAAACTATTTTAAATATTTCATTTTTGTTTCTTAAGATTAACCCTTTTAAAAGTTATTGCCCCTTGTGCAAAAAACCTTGTAATTGCTACTCCTCCGAAACTGTAGACCGTAGAGACACCAAACCTTCACTAATGTCTTTAGGATCTTGAGGCATAACTACAAAGCATAAGTGCAAATGGATCTGATGACCTCTTATATGAGTTATTGCCCTTTAACGTCTTTGTACTTATTATTAAACCTTATAACTTAAAAACTATAAGTCATAGAAGCATGGGGTCAATTGCATTGTGACCCTTCACCTTTGTCCTTGAGCATTTTCTCAAGGTCAAAGGTCAAGGTCATTTCAATTTTTTTTTTTCATTTTATTCTATCATTTAAGACAGTTTTGGTTTCTTATTCATGGAATCTAATTTGAAGGAGTCAGATATAAAACAAAATTGAAATTCAAAGAAGGTGGAAAGACCTCTTATTGTTCTGTGAACAATAAGTCTCCTAGTTCTATATGTCGTTTTTTTATTTCAATGAACGATATTGCCGTGGTTACTAAAAATAGAAATATATTTAAAATGCTACTCCTCCTACAGTTATGGTCTGATTTCAGTTTAACTTGACACACAAGTAGACTACACTAAGATGCATAATTCTATATATCGGTTTTTGATTTCGATGAATGATGTTGCCTTGGTTATTAAAAATAGAAATTTCTGTTAAATACACCATGTACTTTCAAAATGCTACTCCAAATACAGTTTTAGTCTGATTATAATATAATTTGGCATGCAAGTAGACTACACTGAGATACATGTACATAATTATCAGTTTTGTGTTTTTGATTTTGATGATTTATATTTCCATGGAAACTAAAATTGAAAATTCTGTAAAAGTTTTATTAAAAGCTACTCCTACAGTTGTAGTCTTATTGCAGTCTTGCCACAAAAAGAGACTTAATCAAGGATCATTATTCTATTTATTGCTTTTGTAAAGTTTTAAGTCTCAACTTCTACTTTTCTCTTCCTTTATTTTAAGTACAAACCAGTAGAGCTACAGTCTCGACAGAGACTTCTGGTTTATTGTGCATCTTGCTTTGAAGTTGATCATTTATTTGAAATGAAGGGCTGCACACTCTTCACATTGAGATAAATTGGAAAAATAAGATCGATTCCAGTCCTCATGTCCAAATTTGTAGTTTTTATGAAGTACATTTAAAACCATTGATCTTAAATTTATATTTTGAAAGATTTCTTATATTTTTCTCTTCAGAATACCTTCTGGTTTGGATTAGGTTGGGGAATATTTTTCTGCATTCCAAGCATAATATTTGCCTTGCTGCTGGCAAACATGTATCAGAGAGAAGAGAAGTTTGATAAAGATCTTCACAAAGCCAAGAAGGAGAGCAGACAGAAGCAGGAGAGGCAGGACTTTGACAGCCCGTATGTTCAAATTGTCTTCCCTGTTAACATTAATAGAGTTTTAAAGAATATACTGATTCAGATGATCTTTTAATTTGAAAATGCATTCATTTATAATAGTGTATTTATACCCCACGCAACTAGTTGCGTGAGGTATAATGTTTTTGACCCGTCCGTCAGAGTGTCAGTCAGTCAGTCAGTCAGTCCTTTTTTTGTCAGCGCAACTCCTTATAAACAGCTGCACAGAATTTCGTCAAACTTTGCAGGTATTTAGGACACAATGTGTAGATGTGCATATTACCAGGAAATTCCAATTCCGTTATTTTTTCTGGGAATTTCCGCACTTTTTAACTTAGGCATTTGGCCATACCTTGAATATAGAGATGAACATTTTGTCAGCGCAACTCCTCATAAACCGCTGCACAGATTTTCGTCAAACTTTGGAGATATTTAGGACACAGTGTGTAGATGTGCATATTACCAGGAAATTCCGATTCCTTTATTTTTCTGGGAATTTTGGCACTTTTCAAATTAGATTTTTGGCCATACCTTGAATATACAGATGAACATTTTGTCAGCGCGACCCCTCATAAATCGCTGCACAGAATTTCGTAAGACTTTGCAGATATTTAGGACACAATGTATAGATGTGCATTTTACCAGGAAATTCCGATTCCTTTATTTTTCTGGGAATTTCAGCACTTTACAACTTAGATTATTGGGGATAGCTTGAATATAGTGGTGAACAGTTTGTCAGCGCAACTCCTCATAAACCACTGCACAGAATTTCATCAAACTTTGCAGATATTTAGGACACAATTTGTAAATATGCATATTACCGGAAAATTCCGATTTTTTCATTTTTTTCCGGGATTTTCAGCACTTTGAGTTTTGGGGGAGCGTGGGGTATGTGAGCTTGCTCACTTTTTCTTTCATTCTTATAAGTACAAGATGTCAGCCAATTTCTTATGTAGGCAATATCAGATTCACTGATTTGACTTACTTTTCCTCGAAAAAATGAACTTTTAAAAATTATCAGTGAAATGCTGAAGATCAATTTATCAATATTTTTAAAGGTAAATAGGCATTCTATATTATAGTGCAGAGTTGTACATTTTTCAAAATATGAGTAATAGTAAGAGTTTATCTACTGAAATATTTTTTGTAGAATGATGGAGCAGTACCATGATGATAACATTCCATTAACCAGGTGAGTAGTCGCAGCATTTCCTGTTGTGGTGCACTATGGGTATATACTGTATAATAGTTGTTTGTGGTTTGGGGTGGTTGTTTAATTATTAAATGTGTTGTGTTTAATATAACAAATCTCTAATTTTATCACTTAATGTTACACATTTTAAAAATTTCTTCATAAGTTTATTCACATGAACATATTTTTCTTTATAGAAATCATTTTTGACATTCCTTCCATCTTTTTCTCACTTATATGCTTATGTGTCTATAGGTGTAGGGTGCATCAAAACAATACTTGTAAGGGTGAAGGTTGAGGGTATATTAGCACAAAAGTCTCTCTCTGTCCCTATACACTCCTACGTTGATAATTAGAGCTCATGATCCTAAACCTGGTCAGGTCCATGATCATAAGCCCAATCAGGTTTATATTTTGTTTAACTATTGGGCCCTATGAATGGGAATTCATTACAAGTTCTTTTTTTTATATTGTAATTTTTGCTTGAGGTCAAGGTCTTTTTGACTGTTCTTCAGTTAAAGGTCTTTTTTCTTTCAAGGTCATTACTAAAATCCACATGTTAATATTTTAAGATTAACATTGCCAGTAGAATTAAATACTGTATACCATAAATATTTTTACACTTTCACATTGTGAATACCCTAGTTACCTTTCCCTCCATAACACTGGTTTGATTCATTATAATACTAAATACTAAATAAGTTATTGTAATTCAAGTTATGGGATTTTATTTTTGACCTATTCAAAAGTTAGTGAGCATGTGAAAATTTATTTTAATATATGTTATTAAAATAAGGGGGGCATTTTAAAATTTGACTTGTGCATTCTCTAATCCTATAGTCCTCCAAATGGTGGATATGGTCGATCAAACAATGGGGCGGTCAACCAAGGCTACTACAATGATCGGCGTGACGATTATCACCGTGGAAATCAGTACCGTGATGATTATCGCCATGACGATTATCGGGGCAGTCGAGGGGACCCCTACTATAGGCAGGGTGAGCGAGACTACCCCCCTCCCTCCTATCATGACTCCCGTCATTACCCCAGCCCAGGGCCTCATGACGCTTACCCAGTGCTGCCCACAAAGCAACGATACTAATTATCTGCACTGTAAGTAGTCATATGTAATCAGAATATATAGCTCATTATAATCACTTGTAAGAAAATAATTCTGGAGGATTGAAAATATGCTGAATTGTGTATCTATACCTGTATATTTATGAGTGTAATCTTATATGGAATGAAAGCTTATAAGTAGAATGTGCATTTTGAGCTGTAGGATTAAAAATTACAATCTATTTTTAGGCATAATATTTTTCTTTATCATTATGACTGCTACTCTTTATCAGGGTACCTGTAAAGTGCAAAACGAAATAGAAACGAAACGAACTGAAACGAAACGAAATCTGCCGAAACGAAACGAAATTTACCGAAACGAAAAGAAACCTACCGAAACGAAACAAAATCGAAACGAACCCTACCGAAACGAAACAATACTTTTTAAAAAAATTTTCGAATCAAGGTATATAATTATATATGTATAATTGGATGTGGATTTTTTTCTCCTTTATAAAATTTATATAGTTAAAGCACTTGCTTGTTAATATAAAATTCAAACACCGATAAATTATGCTCCCTTCTTTGAAATTTTGAAAAATTGTTTACAGACAGACGGATGGACGACAGACACCTAACTATCGCATAAGCTCTTCGATCTGGTCTCTGACAGGCAGAGCTTAAAATGACATCGTTCGCTTTTAGAGACTTTTTTCTTGTCAATCAAATCGTTTCAGACATCTTTGGCCGAACTTCTTTATTGTAAACCACTCATTTATTCCTAGGAAATTACCTCGATTCAAAATAAGACTGTATACTTAGATAGGATACACAAGCTTCGGGTTGGGGTTATTAGTGAACGATAAAACCAGAGACCTCGAATTGGAATACTCGAAAATCTCTAGTTTTATCCTGTGTTTAAGGAGGCTTGGGGTCAACAAATTAACTACCAGATATAACTATTTTTTTTAGATATGATATCTTAAGCTGTCAACAATAATTTGACAAAGAAAAATTTCATACATTTTAGTTTTCAAATTTGATCATTTTTGTATATCTTTATATGGAACTCTTCTTCTAAAGGTGGTCAAAATAGTCTGAAAATGGCCACAACCCAGACCCTTTAAAGACATTTGCAATACAACAGTACAGTAACTATATTTCGACCCTTACATAAACGAGTCTTTACGTATAACACATCAATTTTGATAAATATGCTGTATCTATATAAATAAGGGCTGAAAATAATAGTAGGACATAAAAATTAGAAAAAACTACACATATTGAAATTATACATGCTAGGTATGCTCGCGAATATTTGCAGCATTCGAGAAGCAAGGGAGCATAATTTATCGGTTTTTAAATTTTATATTAATAAGTGCTTGAACAATATAAATTTTATATGAATTAGAAAAAATCCACATGCAGTTACACATATATAATTAAATGTATATACCTTGATTAGAAAAAAAAAAAAAAAATTTTGAAAGTTTTGATTCGTTTCGTTTCGGTAGGTTTCGTTTCGATTTTGTTTCGTTTCGGTAAGCTTCGTTTCGTTTCGGTAGGTTTCGTTTCGTTTCGTCAGATTTCGTTTTGTTTCAGTTCGTTTCGTTTCTATTTCGTTTCGCACTTTACAGGTACCCCTCTTTATCAATATATCTATAACTTTTATCACATTTACTTCACCAATAATTATTTTTTACACTGCTGTAGAGATTTTTTTCTATAGAGATTTTTTGTAGATAAATCATTTTTGTTTTTTCAGCTGACTCAGGGGCAGATAATAAGTTCTGACTAATATTAGTTTCCTTTTCATATCACTCTTTTGTCACCTTAATTAGTCTTCTCTGCATGTTGATTTAGAAGGCATAAAATTTTAAACTTAGTCACTTGTGTTGAATTGACAGAATTTAAATGAAAGTCTGATGAAATGAAAATGCTTTTAGTTGGGAGAATAAACTTGTATACTGCAAAAATTCAATACTTTCTCCAGTATTTTCATTCCATCTTGATGAAATTGTTCAAACTTACAAAAATAAAAGTTTTTTGAAAATTTGAGAAACACGCACAACACATAAAACATACTGCTTTTTGTGATGTTGATGTTTGTATAAAGACTGTTGGCCTTATATGTTAATGCTAAAACACAAGCTAGAAGATCACTTTGGGGATTGCTGTTGGAATTTTTTTCTCTTTTTTTTTTGTTTTGGTTTTTTGTGAAATTTTACAAATGGCTTGGTTTATTGAACTTTGATAATAAAGTTAATTTTGCATCAAAACAAAATTTACCCTGCAAAATAAATTTTTTTGAAAAAAAATTTACCTATAATAAGTTATGCGACAAATAATGCAGAAAAGCATCTAACTATTATTATTGCATGATTCTAGGGCTAGAATAAAAGTATTCAGAGCCCTCATGACATAATTCCCATCCAGTATAAGTCCTTAGGTCTTTAGGTGAAAATGATTATATATAGACTTGTTGCATGAAACACCCCTTACAAAAGATTGTATATAGAGCTAGAATTCTTGATGACCATGTAAATGTATACAATAACCATTTAAATACATGTATATAAAAATTATAGAATATGATATATATTATTGATCAGAAGTGTAAATGTTTATCTGCATACAGTATATAGCTACCCCGATATATTAAAATACATGTACTCATTTAACTACCCCGGTATATAGCAAAAACAGTATTCTGATTTTAACTTTTAATTTTAACCTAAAAAAATTATAAATATGGGATTCAGTGTATATACCTGTAGATTATTAAAATAGATTGTTGACTATTGATAGAAACTATTCATTAATACATAATTTTTGTTTCTTCAAAATAGCTCAAATGATTTCATTTTTACCTCTTACAGAGCAGGAGACTGGTGACAAAAACTGAATGTTAATTATCCAAAGACTTTCTAGAGAATTTTCCGTAGATAGAAAATTATCTGAACATGGAGAGTTATCTTGAGATTGAATGCAGAGCTGTGATATGATCTCATACCAAAAGAAAAAGCCCAGAATTATAATCCCAAAAATTGTTTAATTTGTTACCAGGAGAAAAAAACACAGGTTGTTGTTTGTTGGAATATGAAAACCAGTGTCAGTTTGATTGTAGTCAAAGATGACATTTTGTTATTTGATGTTGAACCATTTGTTTTTCATGCTAACTTTGTATTTAGGAATTGGGAGGTGAAAGCTTTTGAAGTTTGAATGAATGGCATGGAAGAACACTTTTGATTGTCAATTTTAATTTTTATATGTCAAAGATGAACCTTGTGCTATCACTTTTTTGTTTATAGGATATTTCTACATAAGAATTGATTTTTTTGATCACAGAGTTCTTATTTTGTTTTTATATTGGCAATTTGTAGAAATTTATGATTTTTCAGTTTTGCTCACAAAGTTCTTAAACTGTCTTTCCCATAAAGGTTTTTTTGTTTGTTTTGAAAACAAAGATCATTCCACAAGATGTCATGGCTCAAAAATTATTTCTCTACATTATTTATTACCCCTTCATTCCAAACTACTATCTAACGGGTCTAACGTTCTGTTCTGTTCTCTTTTGTATGTTTTTTTTTTAACCTATATGTTAGTGTGTTCAGTTAAAATCTATGTACATATACATGTATATGTTCGATATGTGAGTAAAATTGAGAAAAACTTCTTTTTTTTTAAACAAAAATGGTGCTATAATTTTCCAACATTTTCTGTTTCCCAATTCAGATTTGATATATGACCCTAAAATGGCTTATATTTCAGTGATTGTTAGCCCTAGTTTATTTTTGTGTGCTGCTAACTTATTTTAAGCATACTTATATTTTGAAAACACTTTTATTAAAAAAACAACAACATAATATACATGTTATATGGTGTATTGTATTATATTTTTCTCTGATAGATAAGTTTTGTCGGATCCATATTTAAATAAAAAGGAGAAATGTCCGTTTGTAAAAGCAACAAATTTATGTTGCTTAAATTTTTTATATATTCATGTGTCTTTGGTACAAAAGATTTTGGAGTATTGTGATTTATCTTGAAAAAAATCATTTTCATTAAGAAAAATCTACATGTACTTGCATATCAGATATACTATGCAAATATTAAAAGGTTGCTATAGGGACAGTACGTTGTATATGGGGTGTGTCAATGATCAAAATAGTTGCAGAAATATGTGAACTTGAACAATATGCAAGCTTAGCTGCTATGTAAGAACAACTAGGGTTAATTAGTGCATTCACTAGACCTAGATATCTAACATAGGAGCTAGCCTAGCTGCTATGGTGTTAAAACCATCCCATAAATATGAATTTGTTACAGAGAATGGTAGGTCAATAATATTTACTTTTGCAATGAATTAAATTTGTTGTTGGTTGAGTTAAAATAGAAAGTACTGTCATTTGTGATTTTTTTCTTCATTTTTGATCATTGTTTAATCAATATTATTTTTCAAAGGGATGTTGTGTATCGACTATAGGTATATATTACAATTGCCTGAATTAAAAAAAAATTGTGTGCTACAAGAATTTAAAAACTAGGTATACAATATCAATGATAATTGTTTTAAAAAAGAATTTTTAATATTTATAGATATATATTTGTATAAAAAAAAGTTTTCTTGCCAAGGCACCCCTAGCTAGTAAAGAAATAATGATAAAGGCTAAAGTTAATATAATTTTATGCCCATTAGAAAACACCTCCAAGTGATATGCCTTGATATGATGTGTTTACTCAATGGATAACTAAATTATAAGAAAGGGAATTTGATTAGTTCCATATCAATTTCTCCCAGTATTTCAACACATCAACGAAATCTTAAAGAATACATATGTACATGTATAAATGAATGCTGTGTAGATGTTGACACCAGAATTGTCACTTTTGAGGGACATACATGTAATTTAGCAGGTTTAGTGGAAGCCCTGGGTGAATTTTGTAGTTTTAAATAAACTGCAGGTCTTAATTAGTTGATAGCAAGTGACATTGGTTTAATTAAACCAACTGTTAATTTTCATTATTCATAACCAAGTTAAGGGCGGAATTAAAAATATCTTTGTTTCCCCTAACCCGACTCTAAATTTTCAAGTTGGGTCGGTAGGTAGGTAAACAATTTTATTTTCTGACAGCAGCTTTGAAAATGCATTCTAAAATTTAATGGAAAATTACATTTATAAATAAGAAAAGTACAAAAGAAAGTGATTTGTGAACAAAATGCTATGTATCATTATTACATACCGGTATGCCATTTAAAAGCAAAATTCATGATGAATTAATTCACAACTGTAATTTAGATGAACTTGTGAAATATCTCACGCCAGAGTACGTTTATATAAATCGAATAAAAAAAAAGACAAGATTCTCAAATACGCAAAGACTGGACATCCGAGTATATTTTTTCAAACCTTCAATCATCCTCCAGTGCTTATAGACAGTCATTGTACTTTTTTGAGGGCCATGAGATTTACAGTGGTTCTAGAGCATTTTGCTTTGGAGTTGAGAAGTAAGTGGCTAATTTTAAGTCGCAGGTTCAAATTCCAATGAGGAACGTTGAAAACGGTCCTTCAAAAGGGACCATAAAAACGTTTGTCCAGTGTCGCAGAAGATGCTGGCTCAAAAAGATCCCACTGCTTAATGGCAAAAAAGTGCGTAGTACGTCTAAATTTGGCGCAATGGGGAAATGTTCAAATGTCGTCCTAACAAATCTCAAATGGGTTTAAAAGCAAAGAAATAACTAATCTTCAAGGGCTTAATTAAAGAAAATGACACTGGACGTCTCAGGAAGATTAATTATAATTTCAAAACTATTTGGAAACAGTATTTAAACAATATTTAAATGAACCAAACCGAATCTACAAATGATAAAAATGCTATATAAAACAATGTCATAGTCACGAAGTTTAACCCGTAAATAAAGGCATGAAAAAGTACAACTGAATTATATTTATCATGATGAATATACACACATAGTTATCACAACTCCTATGATTACATAATGGCATATAGTTAACATAGCAGAATTGTTTATTAAATCAAAACTCAAATTAAATAAAATGCAGTGAAATTGAATGATGTGTTCATTAGGTGGGCCCCTCGTCTGCTCATGAGGCTGGCCTTTCCATGTATTACGTACCTGAAATTCAACAGACAGATTTGCTTGTTCGTTGTTTACCGTCCTTTTTGAAAATTTTAATTAGTCATGGTAAATTTTATTATCAAATTGTTTCAAGAGTGAAGAATTCTAGTTAGCTAAAGGCATAAGATTGAGACATCGCCGTTGTTTTACGAAGAACTACTTCTCTGTAATCACATCTGGGCGCTGTTTTGTTTCCATCAAATGCTTGGAAATTACAATAGAACAATGTCGGCCGTTCTGATAAAAACTGATTTTGATGAAATTGTATTTTATAAAACTTGGTTGACAATAAAAAATTTTTTTGAATCATCTTATTTAAAAAATCTTTTCAGTCGGTGCGATTTAATTGGGTCGGTCGCGTTAGGGGAAACAAAGGTATTTTTTATTTTGGCCTAAAAAACAAACTTTTATCATCATTTCCAGAATAAAAAGAATGTCTCAAATGTTTTATATATTTGATGAATTACTGGTAACGGTAATAATTAGAACAATGTTGTACAGTTTAAGGAAAAAACTGTCTATGTGAAAGTAATTTCAAGAATGAAAGTAGAGATGTTAGAATATTTTTTCTGTACATGATAAAAACCATTGTCTTTATATATAATCACCAAAGATCTTTCTTTTAGAGTTTTAGTTAAACAGGATACATGTTTAAACAAAGATGCAAAGCTGTGCAATGTAGAAACCTCTTTTGAGAAGACAAAAAATATTAAACAGGCAAAATTGCTTAACCATACTTTGCCAATATTCACACATTGATGAGATTTTTTAATACAGTTATGAAATGTAAATAATGTTACACCATATATAGCCATTTATTTTTAGAATATGTACATTTTATGTACAAGTTTTTAACCAGATTTTAAGAAAATGTGATATATCCAAAAACCGTCCTTTTTATTAAAAGGATACTTTTACCTTAGCTGAAGGGTATAACAGTGGTGAAATGGTTGTAATAAATGCATAATAATTAATCCCCATAACTGATCTCATCAAGTGTAAATGTAAACCAAATTATTTACCAGAATACTAATTTTTGTCTCGTTTGACTCCTGTATATATACAGAATGTGTTGTCCCATGAATTTATTCTATAGCTTTCATGTCCTTTACAAAGTTCCCCCCCCCCAGAAACACTTTATGAGGTCCTATGTATAGTGTGCCTTTGAGAAAATTGGGACCAGAGTCCTGTATAACATTCCACCACTGTCAAGAATTCACTTTTATAATGATTTATAAATGCTTAGGTTGGTTGAGAATTATGCATTGTACAACCTTATTATTGTCTGAATGTTGTATGCATCCATCATTAAGCCATTAAATTCATTAAAATTTAAAACTGGTTTTTTTTTTGCTTTTTTGAGATGAAGCATCTTACTTTTTTTATTAGCTCACCTGAACCAAAGCTATAGTGCACAGGTGAGTGATGTGATCCAGAAACCTCTTGTTAAGATGACTTGCTAGGACTAAAGCTAAACTAAGTTATATATTTCTTTGCAAAGATTGTCCAATGAATTTCTAACCACGTGATTTTCTTCCAGTATTTTAATTCCAAATGATCAGTTGTTGAATTTCAACATTATGTTAATAGACTGGCAAAAGAAATTGATTTAATATGAAATGTCTTTGGAATCAAGAATTCTCAGTCATGACACACCTAGAGTCTTCTGTAACTACAATCTCTACAAAGCTGACTACATCTTGACTTATCCTTATGACTATGAATTTGGTCAAGTTAAACCCTTTGGTCATTAGCTGCCTTCCTCCAATGAAACGAGAACTGTCCGATAGGGACAAATACCCCCGCTGGGTTTTTCAGAGTAGGTGCCAAGTCACAAATATTTTATGGATCTTATAAGAGGTGTTCACCGTTTTCTTAGAAACAATTCGAGTGAAAATATAATTGCTCATATTTTTTTTCTTAATAAATGAAACTAAGGTGCAACCAAACAATATCATCAAAACATCAATACTAATACATTGTAACAGTATTTTTTTATTTCATTGAAAAAATGAATTGCAACCATTTGTCATGATACTCTGCAAATGCCCTTTAAAAATGCCCCACCCCCACAAACACACGCATATGCATATATCTTTCATGTGAGACATGATGCTCTGAAATTTGTCACTTGATATTTTCAATTTTTTTTAAATATATCAATTTAACTAATTAGTTTTAAAAACTTAACCAATAACAAATTGATTTTAGAAATAGAAGGCTGGCCATCAAATGACATATGCTATTTAATCTGACCAGCAGTTCTTCTGTCTAATTCCCAAAGGACACAGATAAGAGCTCCTTGATCAGCCATGCTCTAACAGAAATGATTGAGACAGCTAGCTTTCCTACACTGAACTCATTAGTTAATCTTTGACTGGATGCATGTCCACTAATTAATGTCAAGGGATGAATGGATCTTAACTATCTCCTTTGTAGTGCAATCAAAATGCATAATTGTGTCATTCTGAAATTAAATCTGAAAGCAAAGATTTTGTATAAATTTGTTACAAAGATTTATACAGAAAAAAATTGTGTAATCTTGATGCATCATTTTGAATACTTAGATTCCTGCATGATTCTTAGATTTGTAGGAATTGTATGGAACTACTAGTATCTTAAAATCAGACTTAAAGTTTCAATCTGAAATTCATATAGAGAATGGGCATGCCGATTCCAATACCCCCCCCCAACACACACACAGTATACTTAGTTTTAATATTAACTAATTAAGTTCAAATAAGTTTGTAATACAATATCATATTAGTTTGAATTACTTTTTCTCAAATTCATTAAATAAATTAGGCTAGTCACTAAAACTATTTAAGGCTGATTCCTTCACCCAGTTCCCAAGAGATATAAACCGAGATGTCCTACCAGTGAGTTAGCTCCTTACACCGAACTAATTAATTTCTCTCTAATTTGACATGCAATTTTCTGTTATCGAATTCTCCTTGACCAGTGCTTGATAATTATACCCTTGGGAGAGGTTGATTATCTCTTTATAAAATAACATTTGTTATGGATTGCTGTAAGTATATAATGAAAAAAAATATTATTTTCTTAATTTAACATTTTTTAAATAGGGATACAGCAACACTCTTACAATTTTGGGGATTGTGTAATTCAATAGTAAAAGACACATTTTTCTTTAAAATTTAACTTAAATTAAAGGTCACAGTGACCTTAAAATAGGTTTTGACACACCTTCTACCCAAGATGTATAAATTGGCCAAGTTTGATGATTGTAAGTCTAATAGTTTTCTAGTTATGGGCCAAACAAAACCACAAAATAAAGAAAAAATGCCTGTAAAATGCATAAAAATCATCCAATCATGTTGAAAATACCAGGTGCACACCTTCATATGGTGAATAATAAGTGTATAAATTTTCAGATAAATCCATCCAATAGTTTCTGAGAAACGGTCCGGACAAAGTCTTGTCTACAGACGG